AAAAAAAACATTTCAATGGTTCAGCTGCAACTCTCACCTTGGAACCGATAAACCAACCTCTGCAATAAATGAAATAAAAAAAAATGCAAGCTATATTGAAAAATATATATTTATCATAATAAAGAATTTTCTAAAAAATATTATATAAACAGTGAGTAGGCATAATGAGAACAATGCAGCTTAGATGTGAGTTGAGCGAAGCATAACAATAAATTGATGTAATTAACTAGATAAAGTGTGATCTAATTGTTTGAGAACCCACCTTCAGAAAAAGCAATGGGGATGCAGCAAAATGTGTGTCACGTGCCCTCATTTCCATCTGGGAAAATGTTTTACAGTGTTACCCCTTCAAACTCTTGGAATTTTTCATATTTACACGATGCAGTAATTACAAAAACAATTATGTAAAAGCACTCCAAGCAAGAAGCACAAAATCGTGTATGGTTTTCAGATTAACAATGAGACAAAAAAACTAGCAGCTCTTCCAAGGAGTTCTGGGTGCTTGTAGGGGCTCTTAAGAAGTCATCTTTGTAATGAAAGAATTAGAGATATAAATCTCGCATCAAGGAGTTCTAGTGCTATTTATTTATGGAGTCTGAGTATTTTAATGGGTTTAAAAATTTTGTAGTTAAATATCATTTGCAATGTTGCGTCCTAGAAAATTCAAGCAAGTGGAGTGAAGAATTAATTTATTAACATTACACTAAAGATAATATATGCACAAATATAGGTGATAAGAGATAGCAAAATGTTTAGGTAAAAAATCTAGAAAGAGAAAAAACTACTAGATCTGGACCGGTCAAAATAATACACAATATATTTGAAGTTATAGAGTTTAACTCATCTCTTTAACTGGAAAATATGGGATTATAGAAATATGAACACTTGTTTGTCCTTTTATTGTTATAACAAGTGTTGGTAAACACGGAAGTTAATTATATTACGATGATTAGAAAACAATTTCTTGGAAATAATAATTGGCTATGACAATCAAAAGACAATAGTTTTGACTACAACAACCGTAAGATAATAATTGTCTAACAACAAATATTAGTGGTAGTCGATGATGATTGTTGATGGACGTTGGCTTCACTCTTTCTTCAGTGCAAACTTAGGTCTTACTTTCTCTTCCCCTCCATGTTGAAAAAGGGGTGGGATCATATTTGTAAAGTATTGAAAAAGATTTTTTTTATATAAATTTAGCCAAAATCTCAAAAAATCTTATCCACGGATGCATGTATTTTATTTTGATCATAGATATTTTTTAGCATTTATGTATCTTAATGATCTCAAAATTGAGTAATCAAAGGTTCATTGGATTTCTCTAGATGAAATGCTCGTTGACTGTAGCTATGCCAAATTTAGAGATCATTCGCCCTTTCAATTAAGGCTTCAAAAGTTTCAATCATGATTCAAGTGCTTGATCAAAAGCTCTTTTGGGCTTGAGATTGAATCGTTTTTAAGTATTATCGAGTTTGCATTGTTAAGATGTTCAGTTTAGCTATAAAATTGTTGAAATTAGAGCTTGAATGATCATGAATATAATTCTAAGAAAACACACTTATTCAATACACCTTAAGCTTCTTGCTTGATCAAGATCTTGGGTTCATTGAATTACTCTTATCAAGATGCTCAATTTGACTATAAACATGTTAATTTTGAAAACTATTTAACCTTTCAATTAACACTTCAAAATTTCCAAACATAACTCAAGCGTTTGATCCGAGCTCTTTTGGGTTCAGACTAGGGGTGTCAAAAATTGACCCGACACGCCAACATGACTTGAACTCGACTTGAAAAATCCGAGATAGGGTTGACCCGAATATTTTTTTAGTCGGGTTCGGGTTAGAGAATTCAACCCGTTTATTTTCGGGGAAAGAAAAATCCGAGATAGGGTTGACCCGAATATTTTTTGACTCGGGTTCGGGTTAGAGAATTCAACCCATTTATTTTCGGGGAAGGGGGGCGGGGGGTGTTGAGTTGAACCCGAAAACCCAAACATGATCCAAATAAGCATGAAATTTAGGGTCGGGTTCGGGACTTGATTTTTGACCAGTTTATTATTCGGGTCAGGTTCATGTTGACCCTAGTCGTACAGGGTCATTTTCCGGTCGGACCCGAACTCGACCTGTTGACCCGAATTGACACCCCTAGTTTAGAAGAATCGCTTTTAGTTTCATTGGGTTTGTATTATCAAAATGTTCAGTTTATCTGTAAAATTGTTGAAATTGAAGCTTGAATGACCTTGAATTTAATTCTCAAAATCCTAATCAAGTAGAATATTCGGTGACATCATGCATAGAGATTATTTATCATCAATATATGCTTAAATTAATGCTTCAAGAAAAGCAAGGAAGAAGTAGAACACCATTCGCCAAAGGCATAATAAAGCATTAAAATTATTTCAATTACTATTTTGAAGTATTACCCCGCCACTACTTGTATATCTAAGTAAAATTTTGTACAATTTATATGACACATCAAACAAGCAGCAACATCCCAAAACAAGTTCAAATCTAAGAATAAAATTTATGAAGCTTCTTTAAATAGGTAACACAGATTTAGAAAAAAGATAATAAAATGGAGAATTATGTCACACTCACATAGAATTCAAATCAAACTTTGAACTTGCACCTAGTTATGACTTTATAACATAAGATATTGATCAATGTCTTCATATCTTCTCTATTTCACCCCATTTCGCTTCACATCCAATACACCATTTTCACGATATCTAACATACTTATTGATGTTGTTTCATAATTTCTCAGTGAAAATAAAATCATGTCCAATGTTGATGATGCCAAAGATTACTTTTGAGGTGAAGAGACCAACCTATATATGATGATACGGACAAACGTGTTTGCATTTCAATCTGAATTCGAGCTAAATTGACTCGTCAAAAAGATGAATTATTTCTACAATCACAATACAATGAAATGAGCTGAGAAAAAGCCATCTACATCAAAGCCCTCCTTTTTTATATCAAATACTGGGTCTTCTTCCTCCTCCTTTTCTTCATCCCCTTTCGTAACTCATCCAACACCAAAACCGAAATGGTTGGAGCAGGGTGCTTCTGTTGCAAAAGCTAAGCATCAACATTACTGCCTCCCACCCTTAGTCTCCCAACAAATCCGAAAAACATTACTGCCTCCTGAAGCAAAGAAATGTAATAGCCTCGAGAGTCCTAACCAAAAGCCTCAATGGTATGCGCAACAGTCTCATCTTCATTTCAAGCAAAGCAACTGCCTGAGAGGCTGAAATTCCAAATTTCGACCTGCTAGCCTCATCTTTGTAGTCAACAAAGTCATGGACTTGAGAATTAGGCATTTGGAGTCAATGGCACAATCGATGAGCTCATCTGCTTCCTCAAAGTAGTCACAAGCTTGAGTGTAGAAACATCTAACTTGAAATACATGCCTGAAAACCTCATTTTGTCGGGAAAATCAACTCACAAACTTGACACTCTCAACCTCCAAACTCAATGGCACATTCCAAGATCTCTCTGTCAAAGAGGCGAGGAATCAACCTTATGTGTCAAGTGATCACGTAGAATCATTTGAATGGATTAAGGAATTGGGCAAAAAAAAAATCTATCTTTGTGATTTGTTAAACTCTAATAAATCATGGTTGAATAAATCATGCTTGAATGGAGCCTATCAAATCAGAATTTACTAAATCCTTAAACCAAACAATCCATCGGAATTATGGGATTTATGCAAAAGTTTGTAGGGTCGTGCAAAAAGACATTAAAATGGCTTTTCACATGTTTTTGTATTAAAGTGCAAATCATTCTTCTTCTTTTTAGAGTTTTGTTCTTAATCAACTGCTTGAATGATCAGGTTTAAGCAAATCATTCTTCTTGTTTTTAGAGTATTGTTCTTGATCAACTGCTAGAATGATGAGGTCTAAGAGAAGCAATTTCCTTGTTTAAGCAAGAGGCGAGAGGCCTATTTGCTAAACTTTTGCTTCACTGTTCTTCCTTTTTCTATTAGTTTCTTTATTTCTTTTCTTTAATTATCAAACAATTACAATTTCATTTTTTTTATTTCAAGTGTAGCCTCATGATCTAAATTCTTTATTTCTACAGAAATCTAAACAATTTCACTTTAATTGGATTCAAAACATTTCAATTTTCAATGAATATAGTAACCAATTTTTTAAAATTTATGGTTCATTTTAACACAAAAGTTTCACGCTTGATATGTTGATAGATCACAACTAAATCCATGCTTATTGAGTGCCTAAGTATCCTAAAAAATTAAAATGAAATTAATTGAAAAACCAATACAAAGAAAAGAGCTTATGCATTATCAAAAGACCATACAAACATGTAATACTACAAATATATATATATATATATATA